TTGTTTTCAATTTTTTTTTAGTTTTAAGTAGAATTTTATTAGTTTTTGAAAGTATGACACATTTAATTTTTTTCAAAAAATTTTTATAAAAACTGATTAATTTAATGATTTTTAAGACTAGTCCGATCGTGGGGAAGCTTTTTCTTCTATTTTTTTCTCAATTAAAAAAAAATTTTTTGGAATTTTTGACGCAATAAAATAATATAAAATCATGATTTTGTCATGATCTACAATTCTGTGAAATGAATAAAAAAAACGGATTTGAAAATAATCGCGCTCCGTCGGTAAAACAGACTTGTTGTCAGCCTCATCTTAACGAGAAATTTATTTATAAAAACCTGCAAATTTATTTGAATTATTTATAACACGTATTATACAGAGTGTCCAAAAAGTCCCGAAACATTTGAATATCATGGAAAATATAAATTTTACAGAGAAGTGTTTCAGACAACAGTTGTAGATAGGGTTCGAAAAGATCTCTTTATTGATCTTAATGGTTTGACCTTGTGGGTACGTGGTGTCATCAAAGACAGGATAAGATCACTTAAAATTTTTTTAAACGAAATCCCCCATTTTTTATTTCATATTTTTGTAGCCTATCTCGAGAGCTTTCCAAAACACTGTAATAAAATATTTTTCCATTAATCACTTTTCGAGTTATAAGGTTTGGAAGTTACAGTACTACCGACATTAGCATTATCTAAGGTGTTCGAAAAATGGCTGAAACCTTTTGAATGTTGTTCAGGATCATGAGCTTGATAACATGTGTCAAAGCCATAATCATTGGAGATTGTTTCTCTTATTTTTATTTTTGAAAATTATTTTTATTTTTTGAAAAAAAGAGAAACAATCTCCAATGATCATGGTCTTGACACATGTTGTCAAGCTCATGATTCTGAACAATATTCAAAAGATTTCAGTCATTTTTCGAACACCTTAGATAATGCTAATGTCGGTACTGTAACTTCCAAACATTATAACTCGAAAAATGATAAATAGAAAAATATTTTATTACAGTTTTTTGGAAAGCTCTCGAGATAAGCTACAAGAATACGCAATAAAAAATGAGGGGTTCTATTAAAAAAATTTAAATTATTAAAGTGATTTTACCCTGTCTTTGGCAACGCCACCCAAGGTCAAACCAAGAAGACCAATAAATAGATTTTTTCGAACCCTACAACTTTTGTCTGAAAAACTTATATTTTTCATGATATTCGGGTTCCCGGAACTTTTTAGACTCTGTATATCATTCACACTATACACACGTACATACGCGCACATACAGTAGCATTCATAAATTTTTTTGACACAAATATTTTTAGTGATATATTTGTTTTACTTTTGCTATGTATCCGAAAAATTTTCTTACAAAAATTAACAAAAATAAGTTTTATAATAAAATAAGATAAAATATTGTTTGTTGCTTATATACATATCAGTTTTTTACGATAAAATTAAACTTAAAGTGACCACAAGTATTTTGACAGCATGTGAATTTTAAATTTTAGTAAAAATTTGTGATTAAAACTGCACTATATTTCTGTTTAATTAATATCTGGAAAATTTAATATTTGAAAAATAGCGTCTTTGTTTGAATGTTTGCGTCCCTTAACGTCTAACGAGCTCCTCCTACAAATCCTTTACGGGATTAAAAATATTGATGTTAAAATAATATTTATGGACGCTACTGTACCTATACGCGCGCGCGCGCGCGCGCGCTTGCACACACACACACACACACACACACACACACACACACACACGCGCGCGCATTTGATTTACCTTTTATTATTGGAGTACCATTATTAAATTCGATTACTTTTTCCGCGAGTTGTTGAGTGTTACCGTTCGGAAAAGATCTAGATGGGCCACTGGTGACTATGTTCCTCTTATACTTGCAGAGCGCAGCATCTTTAAACACGTCTAACATTTCGCTGACACGTGCTGCATACCCTGCCAACGCGACTAATTCCTATTTTAACAAAAATTAGTTTAATAAATACTTTAAGCAAAACTTCGAAATTTTTAAATTTGGTGTTTTATTCAAATTAATTTTTTAATTTCAAAACATGTAGAATTAAAGCAATTAATAAGAATTAAGATGCGTACTTTATAAGATGACATAAGTCGTTCAACAGCATCTGCTCCAGAGCTTAAAAGATTTTTTGAAGTGGTCAAATATCTCGTTCGTTCACTCACACCACCTAATAAACATAAAATATTATATTAGTTTGTAACTCTATGTTGTTAATATATACTATATTATATGCTATTAACTTCCTTTGTTTTCCTCTCTTCTTCTTGTACAGCATACATAAAAATAATATAGTTTAGTAAAAAGTATAACTTTTGTACAATAAAGTATATAAATGTATATAGAATTACATAATAATAATAATCTAAAATTATAAAAATCTTTATCAAGCTACAAACTATAATGGCATTATTATTGTTATTTTTTTTTGTATACAAGATGTTCTATATAAAAGTATCAATGTTTGCTCATTGTACACACCATCGCCATCTGCATTAATCATCCCATTGTCCGATGATACAACTGTATTATAAAGCAATGGCATTGCAATAACGAGAAGTCCTGTGCCAGACCACACGTATTTCATGAGGAACTGTTCCAGCATCACATACCACAGTTTGACAGCGAGAATACGATGCAAATGCGTTACTAAAGACTTGTAAGCGGAGTTCAGATAACGATATTCTGTATCGTGACCCCCATAGAATGCAATTTCTTCTGCATGTGCACTGATACGAGCATGTGCTTCTCTTAACTTCCCACGTCGTGTTGCTTCTTCAGCAACTAATTGACCGAACTTCGGTGAAGCAAAACGTAAAACTTGTCCAGTTAAAGCAATAACCGCTGCCGCTAATAATGGACCTATATAACAAAACGTAATAACAACAATAACAATAAAGGTTTAAATAGTAGAATTATAAGTTTAATTTATAATATTTTTTAATAATTATTTATTACAATAATTTTTTATTGTGCGTGTATTAAAATATTCAAATCTTTCGAAAACAAATTTTGCTAAGTTTTTGCTACAAATCGGTCAGCATAATACTAGAAATGTAATAGAATCTGCTACCAGAATATACAGAATTAATAGTAGAATGACTGCAGAAAATCGCACAAAGTTTAAAAAATGAGCATAAAATTAATTTTTTACTTAATTTAGTACATATTTCTTTCAAAATTAGAAATTTTATGTTTTCGAGTCATTAAATAAAATACTAATAAGGTCATTTTGAACAAAAATTTAAAAATTAATTTATAAATTAATATAATTTTAAATGTAATATTTTTGTAAAAATATATTGGAAAAAATTTTTGCATATTACCTTATAATTGTAAAATTTTTTTTTTATAAATATTATAAATTATAAATTATAATTAATTTTTTATATATATTATATATATTATAAATAAAATTATATTAAAAATTTAACTAAGAATTACAGTAAAATCAAAATTAACTAAAAAGTGTTTTAAAAATGTACATTTTTAATGTAATATTTTTGTAAAAATTTTTTCCAATGTATTTTTACAAAAATATTTCATTAAAAATTAACTAAAAAGTATGTTTAAAAAATGTACATTTTTAAAACATACTTTTTAGTTAATTTTAATTTTATGTGTACTGTAATTCTTAGATAAATTTTTAATATAATTTTATTTATAATATACATATATAAAAAAATTTTTTTTTTTAATTTATAAAATTTTATATTTAAACAAATTTTTTATATAGAATAACCTACCAAAACTCTTTAAAAAAAGAAAAAGATTACGCCAAGTATATAAAAAAGTATCATATCTTACATCTTTCCTAAACCTAAATATTATTTTAACAAATAAAAATTGTCCAAAAACAAATATAAAATCGTACAAATTGCCAAGTATTTGATTAGACATAGAAACAAAAATGATTTTTTAATAAACCGCTTAACCATCCAAAAGTATATGC